TAAACTTTACAGTTTCGCATAGAAATGCAGTGATTTTTTGACTCTATATCAAATCATCTTTTATTTATTATCATTATTATTTTAAATATTGTAAAATACTCTATTTCTCGATAAATTGTTTTCAGGACGGTTTTACTCCATTAGCAGTAGCGCTCCAACAGGGACACGATCGGGTCGTGGCCGTACTGCTTGAGAATGATGCCCGTGGAAAAGTTCGACTTCCTGCCCTCCATATCGCCGCCAAAAAGGACGACATCCGAGCGGCGACCCTACTCTTACAGGTACTTCATGTCGGATTACGGTAGTCGGCTTACTGCATATAGAACAGCTAATTGAACCATACTTGGGTCTTAATATTGGGATTTCTGTTATTATTATTGAGAATGGTATATTTGCAACGTGTGATTTATGCAGTTCATATGTAATTAGTGCACTTGCAGAATGAACATAACGCTGATGTGACGTCCAAATCCGGTTTCACACCTTTGCACATTGCCGCACACTATGGTAATGAAAATGTCGCCCAACTTCTCATCGACAAGGGAGCCAATGTGAACTATCAAGCGAGGCACAACATAAGGTATTTCTGAAGGATTATTAATGTGTATTCGCAATCGCAGCAAGCCTAGAGCCATTTGCCATAATTTACCATTTGAAAAACAGCAGAAATTCCATAATGGATCGCAATTTACGCAATGCCAACGTGGCGAGTCGTAAGGCTGATTTATCGGCAGGGTTTTTACGAGCTCTTTTTCTCCTAGCATAGGTCGAGAGATAATTGCTGTGACACACTAGGGGGCGCATGTAGGCTAGTGAGATATTTATTGTATCTAAAGGGATTCAGTTGTTATTTAAAATTGCAAAAAAAAACGGCTTAACTCGACCATGCAACAAAATATAATAAACTTCTTAAATATCACTATAAGCAATTATGTCATAGAAAGTTTTATGCTTATGGTTTTGAAGGGTAAGGCTTTGTGAATTCATATCTAAGCGTTCAGTTAATTGTAGTAATTCTTTGAATGCATTTTCGTAAAGTAGGATATGAGGCTTTAGGTATGGGTAATTGAGACAACCTACTGCATAATTCATCACCAAATACAGTTCAACAAAATATCCACGTGAATTAGCGTTTACCAATACAGGCAAACATTGCCACATAAAATCGCTGTGTGACATTTACCTCAATACTTTGGAAATTTCTTTCATTTGCTTTCATTAGCTTTTCCCCTCCGCTAATTTCTGTAATTTCGTAGCAATTGGAATTAGTAATTTTTTCGAG